CCGATGCAGTCGAGTACCGGAGACGTCCGATTCCTCTTGCTCTGACTGTGGCAGCTTTTGGAGCGGTTTTGCAAGCCATGAAATGTAATCCGACTGGTTAATTTTCCCTCGCTAGTAAACCAAGATAAACTGAATGTGTTAATGTCTCAGCTTGACTCTTTCGGTTCAAATTTAACCTGGCCGTTTACCGTAAAAAATTGAGCATAAAAGTTGATGGTCTGTTATCACTTGTATTTTTGTTGGAACACCAACGACGTAGTTGCTGAATCTTCTCAAGACGAAGTCGATGCCATGGGCTTCCAGATCAGTCTGAGGATACGGATACTCGTTCGAAAACATTATAAGATGTCTTGAAGAGCAGACTTATCGTTAGATTGTATCAGTTTCACCGGATGAAAATAGATTATTTAAGTCGTCCGCTTCCTCTTGCTCTGACTGTGGCAGCTTTTGGAGCGGTTTTGCATGCCGTTATATGTAATCCAGCTAGCTAATGCTGGTAAACCAAGATAAACCGAATGTCTTCATGTCTCATCTTGACTCTTTCGGTTTGAAGTGAACCGTGCCGTTTACCGTTTAAAATTGAGCATGAATGTTGTTTGATGGTCTGTTATCACTTTTATTTTTGTTGGAACACCGACGACGTAGTTGCGGAGTCTTCTCAAGTCGAAGTCGATGTCAAGGGCTTCCATTCTCCACGCTATGCCCTTGTGCCAGCATCGCTGCAAGGCCTGTCTTGTGGGCATCAGTGAATATAAATGCTTGTTTACCCAAATATCAAAATATTATAGTAGCGTTCGCTGCTTGCTTTGCGAAATTTGGGCTGAAGTCTACATATGACTGCATCATACATAGGAAACTTATTATAAGTCTTCCTTCGAACTGGGCGGTGATATATATATATATATATATATATATATATATATATATATATATATATATATATATATATATATATATATATATAGTGGAGCGCATCCACTTTAGCAGGACTCGCAAAATGCATTTATACTTAGATTAAGAGTTATATGCCGGCATTGGATATTGCTCTCATGACATCTTCAATTGCTTTGTTATTTTCTAGATCATTCTTTGTCGCTACGATTATGTCGTCATGTATGAGGCGAACTTGCGGAATATTAGTAAATAAAGGTTGAAGGGCTACGTTAAGCTTGTCTTGCGCTGGTTTCACTCCCATTGTAAGACACTTGTACCTCTACAGCTTGTCGTTCGCGTGGAATACTGTCAGATATTTTGAATCCGGATGAAGCTCGATTTGACAGAATGCAGACTTGAAATCCATCTTTGAGAATATTTTTGCCCCGCTGAGCTTTGCTTTAATAATTATTCTCTTGCCTTGGAATAGGTAAATTTGACGCCTGGATGGCCTTGTTAAGCGCATCCAGCGTCATGCGGATAGCCCCGTCTGGTTTTGGTGCAATTACCGCGTTGGAGAGCCAGGGTTCTGATTCTATAGGTGGATGTTCCTCGTTTACGTCTTGACTCACCATTTCATCGATAACTTTGCGACTCGTTCCTTAAGATGATAACTGGATTGGCAACTGGCTTAACTGACGTATATATCAACATGCGGTTTCACTTGATGATTTCTCAGCCTTCCTAGGCCAGCGAAATTCTGTGGAAACCGTTGTAAGATATCTTGAAGAGCAGACTGATCGTTCGATTCTATCAGGCAAGGGCTGTTAATTATATGGCAGTCTACAGGAACTGTCGAGCTTCCGAAATTTACAGCATATTTTGCAAAACCTGCCACTGGTATTGCTGGATTTGCTGGGCGGTCGTACGGTTTGATCTTGACGTTTGTATTAAACATTTTCTGTACAAAATTCCATCGTTCGGCCTCTTTCTTTCCACACACACTAATACTTTCTCCCGTGTGCGCAAGGTCGGCAAGGACAGTAGCGAGACTGTTATTGACGACTAACTCGACCTTGAAGTCGTCCTTATGATGTCTGGCATTGTGCTGTGGTTGATGTTGACTCTTTTTTGCAACTCTGAAGATATTAATATTATAAACATCGTCCTTTTGGGATTTCTCTAGATCTTCAGATTTCGGCTCTTTAATTTCTTTCTTTTTCCTGCCTACTCTCTCGTGCTGCCCGGTTGCATTGCAGAAATTACATTTGCTTGTCCGGACCCTGCACTTCTTAACATGCTCTATTACAGACGCCTTTATCTCTTACTCACAGTAGTGGCGTGTTTAGGTTTTTCTTGCGGCTTTGCGGCCTTGGAAAACTTTGCTCCGCACTAGCTCGGGAATTCTCGGGGAGTATATTCCAAATTAAATAAAATTAAAAGTAAAACCTACCTACTTACTCCTGTTTAAAAGCAAGCGCAAAGGAACTCTTTCTGTAAAGATCAACATCCCAGCAGCTGCATGATTGTTCTTTAATGCCAAATGAATCCTTTTGGCCGAAATTTGTAAGATGTAAACGATGAAAATCAAATGGCATGATAAACAAATCAACATCCGTAATTTGGAAGAGACACAAAAGGGAAACTTGGCGACCAAAGTACAATGAACAACATCCCTGTCCTGATAACATCTTATAGCTAAATACCGATAGTATTATCGGTATTATGAAATAAATGTTTTATCCGTGTCAACTGTGTGTGATCAACATCTTCCATGATACTCGTCCCAGACCTTAAGAATTCGAGCTAAAATTCATCTTCTGGTTCAAAAACTCCCAAATGCTCTTACTATTTTAAACTTTACATCCGACTTTAATCACATTTAATACGGATCTTTTTATAAGCCAGTTAAAGCATGAAGTTTTATGATTTGTTCAGATCGTTCGTCATTAATATTAAATATGATGTTGTGTTTATATTTTACAAAATAGAGTGCTTTTTTCCTTTTGTTCGCCAATGTCGTCAAGCCGTCTTAAGAAGTATTTAAATTACAATATATGCATGAATTATGCCATATAATAAAAAAAACTTACTAACTTCGACTGTTTGGTCTATACGATATCGCTATCGCTCGGTCAATACAACAAGACCTCGGTTTGATAATTTACCGTATAGACCTCACGCTCAGTTAGAAAGTAGTCATTATATAGTTGATACAACAGTTATGATATATAGACGTTAACAAAACAGACGATTTTAGGTAGTTTAAAATTTCGGAAATTCCAATGAATATAGTATTTCAGGTATGTTGATATATGTATCAAATTGCATAACTTTTCTTTTGTAAAAGTTATTTATAAAATCATTTGTCAAAGTTAGCTGTAAAATCATTAAGCATTGTGAGGTACAAGTTTATGCGAAAATTTCTTGTTGAAATTCAATTACAATGATTTAGGTTGGTGATGGTCCTTTTCTTTCAACATAATTTAGGGCAATTGAACGTAGTGTGGCCACCGTCAATTCCTTTTTCTTTTCTGGTACATTCTTTTCAATGACGTGATAAACTTTCTCAAAAGATGCAAATACTTCTTTCTTCATAACCTTCACAGGAAAAGCGAATTGTAATATGTTAATGTGTGGCTTTTGGCACTTTCTTTTAAATTCCTTTGCAATTAATGCACATAGAAACAATGTAGTAATTTTTAATAATTTTTAATTTCTATAACAATCCGAACATGATTAGTTAATGAGCTGTGAACGATTGAATATATTGATGCTTCACTAATGTATTTTTATCACTTAAAAATGGTGCGAGATGCAGCATCGAAACGTTGTAAAATAATAAATTTTATATCGCTTTTATTTGTGTCAAAACTTTACTCAAAGAGCTTACTGTTTAAACACTTGAAACGCGATAATCAACTACCACTGTTCAGGCGTCTTGGACGAAGTAGTGAAAAAGTTTGTAATACGATATGTGCAATCGAATTCATTCAGTTGTGTCAAAGTTTTGAATTAACACCTAAATTTGCCAAAGTTGAGAGTTCGAAAGCTGAGAAATGGAGCAAGTCAACTAAGGAATAGGAACAAAATGTAATTGCAGAAGAGCTTATTAAGAAACGAACGTTATTAAAAGAACAAAAACGAGATTTTGATGAGTTAGCGAACGATGTGAGAGGATAAACTACAATCGTACAATGTATGTGTATTTTGACTACAATGGCGGATATTCGAAGAAGATTATATGAGCGTAATATGAAAGTTAATTCTAACAAGATATCACGACTGTTGTCTCGAGTAACAGACGTTGATAAACATATTCATAACATTTCATCCTATGAACTGTGTTATTTTCAAAAGCTAGCATTGTGCCGAGAAATTCAACTAACAACAAGAAAGATGAAAAGCAAAAAAATCCCGCGAAGGCGGGAGTTTTTGAAATACAGTATATGCCTGTCAAAACTCTTTATCACACGTTTTAAATACTGGCAAACACATCAAATTATTGTTTTTTAATCGTTTCCAAACATTGTTTGAACTCACAGACTTCATGAATATTTTAACTCTCTTTAATTTGATTGATGAAACGTCTTCCTCCGTTTGAAATTCATATTTTATATAAAGGGCGAATAATTTAAATTTTCAGTTGGGAAAAATAGAGCGTTTCTGCACAAAAAATAAAAGAATTAATTGAAGTTTTCCAGTGCCGATGTCATATGAAATAAGAGAAAATTCGAAATATATTAACAGAAATATAATGTTTTTAATTCTAGTTCTGAATTTTAACCAAAGTTCCTTCAGGTGATAGCTCAGTCTATCGCCTCTTTGAAACATAAACCTTCGTTGGTCTGGTGCTGTCTTCTTGGCTTCTAGTCTTTCGTTCGTGAGGCTTCTTGCGGCTTCGGCTCTCAACATGAACGCTAAGCGTACCTATTTTTTACGAAACGAAATCAGTGTACGGAATTAGTTCCCTTGACGGCCTTTCGGCCCTTCGTGCCGACCGGAGATCAAGCATAATATTATTATGTTGCGTATTGCGTTATGTGGGTATGGTACCATATATTTTAACCGCAATATAACGGTATACAACACTTCACCACATGTTTTTCTTCCAATTTTTTTTAAATATTGAAACTGTTTTCATAATTCTCGTCTGCGAAGTATAACATTCAGGAATAAACAAAGGTATTACTGTTAAAATTGTATTTAGATATCAAGGTATTTATCAGTGTAGGTGTTGTATTAATTATTTATAGTTCATTAGAAATTGCAAACGACGCAAAATTACTGTAGAAAACTGTAGTACTGTTGCAGAATGTGGTAATATTTCATCTTTTAGTTTTCACCTATCTTTAGATGTTCATTTGGGAATAAGACATGCCTTTTTTCACAATATTAACACTATTTTCTATTTTAGTTTCAAGAGGAATTTATGTGCCCAGCAAGCCAGCATTCCGAATTACGCCCCTGTTGTCAATTTGCTTCACGACAATATTTGAGTATATCAAGATATTTAACGCTGTAGGTATTTATTATAAGTTCATTAGAAGAATCATGTTATCTTAACAACCTTGTCATTGGGGTCGTAAACTGCCATGGTCATATGAATATATGTACTCCTCCAAAATATTGATTTTATCATAGGCAGCCCAAATATGCATGATAATTTGAAAGTTTTATTCAGAATAAAAGGGTTTACAAATCTATTTCTCCAGATTAGATAAGTGGAAGCTATTGTACATAGCATAAATTTACTTATTTGTATTAACATAGTTCTTATACCAGTCTAGGGTACATCCATGCAATTGCCATGCTGGAGGTTTAGAAATGTATTATGTTTTTATGTCAAGATGTTTGAATTTTTTGGCAATCATCAAATATAATTATGTAGTGATAAGGTCTGGTGAAATTAAGCAAGATGAATAAGAGTGTTACACCTAGATTGCTTGTTTAAATTTTTGGTGACCATTTTAACCATTGACAATGGAATGATTTGTTTTATTACACACCAACATCTTAGCGATTATATGCCAACACATGCATACTGCATGAGGTGTATAAAATAATTTCTCAGGCTAAAACATAATTCTAATAAATTAAAACATTTATCCTGAAGTTGTGGATGCCAACTTCTAAGGATTTTCATCATCCCTAGGGTCACCAAAGTGCTGCATGGTAACTGCAGCTAGGGCAAATGCACAACTGCAATCATAGTCAGAATTTTTAAAATATATTGGCTAGACCACAGTGGCGATAAAAATGTTAAACTATTCATATTTAAAACTTGACAGATTTTCTTACCTTTTTCCTTAAGAATCTGGATTCATTTTCACTGTGTGTGTTAACGATGTTTCAAATTGAATGATGTCTTTGCTCTGCTATTGAATGAGAAGGTAAGGGATTGTGGTTTATTACACATTTTGTATCTCCAGTTTCTGCATTCATTTACTAATGACTCCAGGTATCAGCAGATGTGCATATATAAATATCTTTATTATATTATAATATGCTCATCTTATGAAGTGGGAAAGTGAACACTAGTGTATAATCCCAAAAATGGGAGATCACTAACCCCTAACGGCTTAAAATATATATTGGGTTCCAAGTGCTGAGATTTGAGATAGATGACCAAAATTTTGAGGTATTGTAACATGTAAAGTTGACTAACAGGAACTATTTTCATGTGGATATCACTGCATGGTCATGACAATTATGGCGAGATCTTTCCTATAGTGATACATGAGTGTTAATTGAGTATGAAAGAACTGTTTCCGGGTAAACTAGATAGATAGATAGATCCTTTAATTAAAAGGGCAGGTTGCAACCAAAAGGCTGAATTGCGTACGCCAATTAATTTACAATCAATGGTTGATTAGAATAAGAAAACAAAACTGTCTATTTTACAGACATATCAATATATATGGAACTACAAAACTACAAAGAGGTTAAAAAACAATTAAGCATGCAATAAAATGCTTGCAGGTGAAGGGAAAAAACTGTTTCTAAATCTGTTCGTTTAATTTAGTCTGCGGAACAACAAAGTTTCTAGAGAGTCTCAGATTATAGTATGGGAAGTGTCTAGATGGTATAACATAAATGTTTTCTGCTGCTTCTCTGGTAAATTCTTTAAATAGTTTTTCGCATGCTTTCACGCGCCTGTCACTTAATGACTTGATGCCACATTTTTCTAAGCAACCCGCATAGCAATTAAGTGGATAGATAATTGATAGGACACGCTTTTGAACTCGTTCAAGGGAATTGGATCTATAGGTACATAAGTTGGGGGGGGGGAGAAATGGTGTAAATTCCTAAACTGGTCTAACACAGGTAGTGTAGAAGTTTATAATGTCCACTTCAGGAATGTGACTATGTGAGCACGTTTCAACTGAATAATGAAATAGATACGTTTGTTAACTTTCTTAATTGTGTTGGTTACATGTTGGTTCCACTTCAAATCTTTGGATATCGTCAATCCTAGTATTCTGGCATGGTCCACTGTCTCGATAAGATCTGAGTTAACATGAAGATGAGGAAAACTTTCTCAAATTTTGTAAAGCTAATAACGATTTCCTTACACTTAGAAGCGTTTAATTGCATATTGTCATCTTCTGACCAAGTTTGAACATATTTTACTGTATCCTGAATATTACTAGGTGTAAATAATTTCGGATATGATGGTATCATTAATGTATTTCCATCGTTCGTGATGGGGAGAATGGAGGTGATTTATCATTAAAATAAAGAGCCACGGTCCCAATTTGGTTCCCTGGGGGACACCAGAAGGAACATGTAACCATTCGGACAAACAATCTCTTGCTAATTTCACTCGTTGTTGTCTGTCAGTGAGAAAGTCAAAAACCCAACGTTTCATGAAACTTTCGTTGCTAAAATCGCGTTTCAAGTTTCGTCACTAAATGACATATCTTGCTATTTGCTAATAACATAATTCACACACTGTTGCTCTGTGTATTGCTTTCAGTCCAGCTCTTGAAAACGTCAACAACCAACTGTCTGTATGTATGGCTTATGTATGTAGCAACATCATAAGTGTTCGTAATATGTCGGTTCTTATGGCATGTTTCCAATACCTAAATATATATACTCAGAGTAACTCAGACCAGATAGGACAGTCGTTAATGTCAGCTATCTTTTGAAATTACTGGCTGCGATAATCTTTTAAGGAATACATCATTACAATATAGCAAAATTAGGCAGTGCTTCAAATCTTTTGTGTTCAAATTATATTTTGTTGATTAATTATATTAAATTTTATTTTGTTATATTTGGCAACATTGTTTAAGTGTTTAAGACTCTGGATTCCCTGGGGAACATCGGGCCTCAACGAACCTCCTCCAACGGACATCAGACACCTAGTCACGGGTCACCCACATTAGCTTTTCATGCAGTTATTTGTCTTTCATTGTCGAAGTCATTCCGAGGCTCCGATAAGCACACGTTCCATCGCCCAAAGGTTATGTGTATAACTGAACCGCGAGTATAGGCGAACATTAAATGACTGTTGACAAGACATGTGTAACATTAACATATCGTGTGGGCGTTGTATACATATAATTAGACAATAGGGACCTTAAGCATGTCGGACGGCAACACGACGACGACGCGGCTGAAATTCTCCTTTAAATAAATGCTATAGTAAAGTTTTTTTTTATCTTATTAAAACATTGTGTTTATGTTTAAGGACAGTTCTATAGAGCCTAATTTGAGGTAGGGCTCGCTAAGTCCTGAAATGCACCCGTTCTGGGCAAGACGAAAAAAACGAGGTTTTCCCGTTGTAAACAGAACGAAGACGACTTCTAAAACCCATCATTGGTCTTTAATTATTCATTTCTTTTCAATGACCCAGTGTATTGATAACCGTCGTCGTCGCGTTTGCGTCCTACATGCTTAAGTTCCCTAATGTATACGTATACGAGGCTGATGTGGTGTATACGTTGACAATTCGCGTGAGCATTGTATACGTAGACAGGATGAAGATAATTAAACAATGTATACGACGCTGATGTGTGGTACACGTTAACATTTTGCGTGAGCATGAACCGGGTACAGTTTTATGCAATGATAACTGCTTATGAGCACATGCTCATCTGCTCATAAAACTGCATTATACTGTTCGATAACAAGACACTCCCACATTCCCGCTAAATGAGATATTTCAGGACCATTGGAAATTTTTGTTGATAAAATGAAAATTAATGTATGAACTAGCATGAGGAAGAAGAAAATTTTAGACATGGATGATTTAAACATTTATTATTTGTCTTGCAATTGTCTGGCAATTAGTTACATCACAGTTATAGAATATACATGGTTTAGAGACTACACAAAAGTACAATAGAACTCGTTATCTATGTCGGAGAACATTTATGAAAAAATTGTTCTTTGTTCGTCACGTGTCTATTGTATTTTGAACAAATAAACCAATAGTAGGGTCTGAATTAACATGTTGTTCAAGGAGCTAAGCCAAGCCATTGCTATTGGTTTGTTGGGCTAAAATACAATAGACATGTGACGGATTTTTGCATAAACCTGGACAAAAACATAGATAATGAGTTGTATTGTACTTCCATCTAGTCTCCAAACCATGTATATTCTAATAACTGTGGTTACATGCAGCAATAAAAAATAATTACTTCTAAATCGTTATCGCTTTTTGCTCGTTTGCCATGGTTTCCTTAAGAAAGGTTTAGTAAATCATTTGGCTAAGTTAAAATTCTAATCTTCATCGACATCATCATCATCATCACTGCCTTTATTTTCCTTCACATCTTCAATCTCGTGGTCGTTTAAAGCCTTTTTATAAGAAACTTTCTCTTATCAATTGCAACTTCTATTGCTTCTTCTAGGTCAAAATCATCATTTTGGATAAACGCATCTTTTGTATGCATTATTTTCTTATGTACTGGGTCTTTCTTTATTTGTCTCATCTACAAAAGGCGCTCTAAATAAATATTTCTAATTCTTTCTGGAGACTAGGCATAACATTCAAGTTAGCTCTCTCTTTAGCAGTGTGCTCATCGAAACCACTGCTTATAAGCCTTTCTTCCATTTCTTCAAAAGCTGTGTTACTTCTTTGTTTTGCTTCTTCTATTAACGGTATCCAGGAATGCATTTCTTCTCCAGATTCTGATTCAGTCGCCGTCGAATTTCCAGATTGCTGAGTGGAAGTTGTTGAGACATCATCTTGGAAATTTCTTTCTTGACTGTCCGAGTGTGTTTGAGACATGTTTCTTTCTTGTTCTCGTAGTTGACAGTAATCCTGTTCGTGTCTGCGCTGATTGTAATCTCATTCCCTTAACACTGGAGGTGTGGAAATGCCTTGTTATCGAACAGTAATGCAGTTTTATGAGCAAATGAGCATCTACTCATGAGCAGTTATGAGCATGTGCTCATCTGCTCATCGCATGAAACTGTACCCGGTTCATTGAGATTTTTTAGACCCAAACACCTATAGTTAAATTTGTTCAATTTAGAAAGTAATGTCGGTAACAATTTTTAAGCAGACGAGTAACTGCGATGAGCAGATGAGAATGTGCTCATAACTGCTCATGCATGAGCAACTGCTCATTGGCCCATCGCAAAATTGACACTCGATTTTTGAATAGATTGATATTGATTCAGTGTCCTTTTCAAGCTTTGCTATAGTGCTCGAGCTAAACACATTTTGTCAGTGTTATTAATACGTATAATTGATCTCATGTCGTTTCTTTCCGATGCCTCCGTTGGGCATCTCAACGTTTCATAATATTAACATTTACTGAATCATTTAATCTAAATTCCCGATTAGATTGAATAACTCGTTCAATTTCTGCGATGTTAAAACACGCTCAGATGTTAAGCCCAATCTCCACCAGGCGAATGTATTCACGCGAATAGATCAAAAGTAGGAAGCGAATCTACTTTTTTGCGGCGAATTTTTTCGCAAACCAATCACATCATCGGATCCAGTAGCGTAGCCAGCCTGTCGATTTGTCCCGCTATGCTAATATTTTAGTGTTCACTGACTGTGAAAACAATAGATTTCTAAAGACATGAATAATTATTATAACTCGAAATTTACATAGCGGGACAAAATCGTCAGGCTGGCTACGCCACTGATCGGATCTCAGATATCGCTTTGCATCGTGCGAATACATTCGCCTAGTGGAAAACGGGCTTTAATCTCTCACTAGACATAAAGTGTAAAGATACTGGATATTCTGGAAAAGGACGAGCACTTATATGCTTACTGTATTTTGATAAAGCTTAGGCACAAGTATGCAAAGCGAGGGTCACGCATGCGCAAGCTTTTACCCGGCGTCTACTTGTGTTCCACCCCATCCCCACACGCGATAAACCTAACGAAAGAACCACTTGACCAGCTTTGACCAGGGTC